GATTGCAATCTTAGATTGCAATTAATGCAATCTAAGATTTGTACAATTAAAATAAAAACTTTCTTTAAAAAAAATGAAAACGGTTTTCTTGGATTTGAAACTGCCACATATTTGAATTTTAGTATGTCTAAAATTACTTCCAATTTTAACTCTACATTTGGCCTTCCCACTGCTTTAATTATGTGTTGCTTTTTGATAATGTTGTGTATTTTATTGTCTATGTTTTTTAATTGCTTGTATTGATGTTTTATTGCTTTTATTGTTGTGTTTGGGCTTGGCCTCATGTAAGCTGCACGGAGTCCCTTGGGGAGATGGTAGCGGGGTACAAATAAAGTCAATAAATAAATAAATAAATGTATTTTTCATTGTAGTTGAAGAAGTCTATTTTTGAATGTATTTCTCAAATTCAAGAAGGTTTAATATTTGAGTGCTATTATACATTTTCAATAGTCTAATTATAATTTGTTTACTTTAAAGAATAAGTTTTTTAAAAATATAAGATGGTTTCATTATTGGTAGAAAGGCGCATGTCTGTGTTTTAGATGGATTAGGGATCAGTTGGTTTTCCCTGTAATAGGCAGTAAGAGCACCTAGAACTTCGGAGAGCTTCTGTCCATCTCAAAGCTCCCTGCTTGAGCAGTAATGGCACGATCATCAGCATAGATGAAACTCTCTGTCCCTTCTGGCAGTGGCTGGTCATTTGTGTAGATGTTGAACATGGATGGAGCAAGCACGCTCCCCTGAGGCAGGCCGTTCTTCTGTTTCCGCCATCTGCTTCTCTGGCCCTGGAACTCAACAAAGAAGCTCCTGTTTTGTAGCAGGTTTCCTATGAGGCGGGTGAGGTGGTAGTCCTTTGTGATATTATACATTTTTCTCAGGAGGAGGCGGTGGTTCATAGTATCATAGGCTGCTGACAAGTCTATGAAGACAGCTCCTGTGATCTGCTGCCTTTCAAAGCCATCTTCTATGTGCTGAGTCAGGTTCAGCACTTGCGATGTGCAGCTTTTGCCTTTTCTGAAGCCAGCTTGCTGTGGGATCAGACAGGGTCTATATTTTCCATAATTCTATGCAAAATAAGTCTCTCCAGAACTTTGTAGAGGTGGCACAACAGGGAGATTGGTCTGTAGCGTTTTGGGTCATTACGGTCTTTGCCTGGCTTCAAGATGGCGATGACTCTTGCTTTCCTCCAGATTTGGGGGATCTGACAGGATGCAGTGCAGTTGTTCATCAGCTCCAGCAGCCAGCGCCTTGCTTTTGGGCCAAAGTTCTTGATTTGTTCCATCCTAGATCATCCAGGCCAGCTGCTTTGCCATTTTTACATTTATTGAGAGCCATGTCCAATTCAGTAGATGTAAAGGGTTCATGAAGGTTGTTGTTCTCAATCTCTGGTTGTCTGGCTATTGGTTTCTTTCCTACTTTGGTGGCAAAGTTGGGTTTCCCATTCTTCAAGAGTTGGTGTGCTATCTGATCTGCCTTTATGTTGGCATGGGTATTAGTTTGTGAGGGGTCATTGCTCAGCCATCTTAGCAACCTCCACGCCTTCTGGCTGCTCCTGCCCATGTCAACCTCTGTGATCAGCTTGATCCACTGTTCTTTCTTGGCTTCAGAGATGGAGGACACAATGTTCTGCGCTGCCTGAAGAGTCTGCTCACTAAATGGGTCTTCGTTGTGGAGCCTGTAATAGTTTTCCAACAAGGCAGCTGTTTCAGGAGTAATGCCCTGAAGGTAGTGGGTTCTGCAGCCTCTCGGTATCGAGGCCCGTGAGCAGGTTTTCACTATTTCAATAAAATGTTCGTATTCCTCAGGGATTGGCACGACCGATGTGATCATGTCATCTAACATGTCTGAGAATTTAGTCCAATCTGCCTTTCTGAAGTTGTATCTTCATTTAAATCGAACTTCCTGAGGCCTTATTGTTGGGAACAGTTGGCATATTATTGGTCGGTGCTGTGTGTTTGGAATTGGTGGTCCCACTGATTTGGTGCATTGCTGTACAATGCTGTCGCTCACAAATAAGAGGTCTGGGTTATAACCTCGGTGCCATCTTCCGCTGTTGTAGGATGGTGGGAGCTTGCTATCATGGATGAGTGATAGTTTGTGCAGTTCAGACCAGGACAGGACAGCCTCTCCATTTCTGTCCTCTTGGGCATAGCCCCATACATGGCTATGGCTGTTGAAGTCACCAATTACTACCGCCCTTTGGTGCCTGTCAAAGTTCTCGGGGGAGGAGAAGCAGAACTCTTCATTTGGGGGCTTGTACACAGAGGTGATGGGGATGTGATGGTGATGCCCAAACCCAGCACCTTAATTCATGGGTGATACCAGATGAGAGACTCCCCCCGGGCACTCAGCAGACTGGGCGACTTGGAAGGCGCTGAACAGACTGCGCTCTGGCACCACGAGATGCAGAGCCAATCTTAAGAAATAAGGCTACAGGGTGGAATCCTCGGCATGCGAGTGCGGAGAAGAACAAACCACTGACCACCTGCTGCAATGCACCCTGAGCCCTGCCACATGCACAATGGAGGACCTTCTTGCGGCAACCCCAGAGGAACTCCAAGTGGCCAGATACTGGTCAAAGGACATTTAACCAAATACCAAATTTGCAAAATCTATGTGTGTTTTTTTTCCTTTTTCTTTTTAATCTGTGTGTTTGTTTTGCTCTGTTAGAATTGTAATACAATGGTTGCTGATGACACGATCAATAAATATTATTGGTAGACACAAAAATCTGAAGGCTATTATCTCAAAGCTTCAGTTTGCATTGAAAGCAGGAAATATGTGCATTCTATGCATGTACATAATAAGTGTGCTCAAAGGAGACCCCATAGCTCTACAAAATTGCTTACAGATGAAACTGCTGCCTTTTGTTTCATTTATGAGTTTTTAGCAGTGCTTTTCTTAAGCTCAAAGAGTTATTTACATGAAATGAAACAATATAGAAAACCACATTATACACGAAAGGCTGGAGCCAAACTAAGTCAGTTGACCTTACAGACAGTCCCTATGAAATCAGTGGGACGAATTAGTCATGGCTTAAATTCTTTGCTCCCTTTGAGAACTAAGGGAATCCAGCTAAGTTTGGATCCAACTAAAAGACAAAAGCTACACAAAAATAAAACAACTTATAACAGTTCAATTGAATGCATTCCTATAACAATACAATAGTCTAACAGGAAACGCTAAACCCCAAGAACATCATATTTGCCCTAACTCATATAGACAAAGTCTAAATGAAATAGTTGAATTTTTCAACTCCTCTGAAATCCTATCAGGAATGCTCAGTTTCCTACTTCGCCCTACTATGGATAGGGATGAACAAGCCACAGCAGCCACACATTGGTACCTTCTGGTTAGAGTCCTGCAGTACACTCTGTGTGTGGCTACACTTGCAGACAGTCAGAAGCAACACCTAACACAAAATGCAATAGCAAGGCTAACAAGATATACTAGTATTGAACAAGTTGCACTAAGTGATAATTTATTTCTATGCTGAATTCATGGTGCCAGTGATGACTTTTAAAGTCCTAAATGCATGATATCTTGATATTTAGAGTAACGTTTCTCCCTGTCTCTGTGCCCCATCGGTGGTGGCAATATGAAGTGCAAGAGCATGGGAGAATTGGGTTGTTGTGGTTGTTGTTTTTAATCTGGTCGTGTCTGTTTCCATCAAGAATAACTGCAGCATTCCTGTGGCTATGTAAGCATCAGTCTGGTGGCATTTCTATGCTCTAACAAGGGCAAGAGTCTATACAACTAAGTGCAGCCTGTAAAAGGCATTCCTGGCCAAAACGTCTTATCTTCTTGTCCAAGTTAAAGGTGCTGCTTTTTAATTTCTTGTGTTCAGTTACATTGGATGCAGAATCCTTTGGGTTATTTTACAAAGTAAGACTCTTTTAAAATAAACCAATACTTTTCTGTCTTAACAGAGTTGTTTTATTAATATCTAGTTTCTTCTGCTGGCGCAGTGGTTAAACCGCTGAGCTGCTGAACTTGCTGACTGAAAGGTTGGCAGTTCGAATCTGGAGACTGGTGTGAGCTCCTGCTGTTAGGCCCAGCTTCTGCCAACATAATGGTTTGGAAATATGCAAATGTGAGTAGATTAATAAGTACCATCTTGGTGGGAAAGTAATGGCGCTCCATACAGTCATGCTGGCCACATAACCTAGGAGGCGTCTGTGGACAACGTCGGTTCTTAGGCCTAGAAATGGAGATGAGCACCATCCCCCAAAGTCAGACATGACTAGACTTAATGTCAGGGGAAACCTTTACCTTTACTTGATTTCCTCTGTCTAACCGTGGTGACAATCTAGAATAGAGAATGTTATATTTTAACGAAGTATGTTTCATTAAATTTAAAAAGAGTCTTCCCTTTCAGGTTGATTGTGCTTTTTTATTTCACTCCAACAACATTCAAAACCAGAAAATACAGAGACCAGTTCAGTAATTTAGATGATGGTGTTATTATGATGCCATAATTCAATATGTGCATTGATTGTTTTTTCTGCACTACTGGCCAGCAGTTATTGTGTTTTGACTGTCATTTTCACACAAGCACTTGGCAAAAGCTTATGCCAAGCACTTTTGCTTTTTAAAGCTTCATGGATGGCAACTGAACACTTTCCACTGGTTTCTAAAACAATTGAATTGGAACTTTATATTAATTGTCTAGCTCTGCCATGCGCCTAGGGATATATCATATACTTCAGCAATCAATAAAGTCCTTTTTCATTTCACAATTAATGACTGGTTAGTAATTCCATGTGAACTGTTGGCAGTGGGAAAATGTACCACATGGCGTGACTTTTCAGTTTATGCCTTTATTCCTTGCTTTTGAGCCAAATCTTCTTTTGACCTCAGATATGAGTGTAATTTATGGTTCTCATTACATCTGATGTTCACCCATCTTTGTGCCCAGTCCTGTTTCTCACTATGGACCTCATCAGACAGGCAGAGGAAAAGTGGGTGAAAGCATGGGAGAGAGGAGGGACCCGTCTTACCTTGTTTCCCTCCTGGCCAGGTTTGTCTGCTGCCATCCCACATCCTTTACTCAATCAGGTCTGTCTTTCCCCTGTGTTTCTCCAGTTTGTGCCAAAGGTACTCTGGGCTTCGTTTCTCCACACTGCCACCAGAAGTTGCCCTGCATCATATGATCGGCTCCGTTTCTGCAATGGGGAGAAACGGGGAGAAGATGCAGAGAAAACTGTGTCTGATAAGGTCTATACACACACACACACACACACAACACAGTGCAGCAGTAGTTCAGTGCTGACAGGGTTGAAGTGCTATAACCTTTTAATTGGCAAGGGCAATGCCATTACTAATTCCCCCTGAAATGAGTCAGGATTCTCTGAGTACCCTGTGTGTGTGAAATTTCCCAGCACTAATACACTGATGTGAGTGACCACTGTTGTATTATAAAATGTTATCTGCTGATTTTTTCAATAAACAACTAATAGCTTTGCAAAAACTGCCTCTGATTGTTAGAACTAGTTTCTAGATAGTGACTGCATTTTGGGCCTCTCCCATTTTACCTGTTGTGATAAATGCCTGCACATCAAAAAATTGACACTGAACTCCTGTCTAATTGTACTGTGTTTGTTATCTGATGAAGATTCCTGGAGGAAATTCCATCAAAGTTGAAAAGTTTATTATCTCAAAGAAAATCCCTGATGCAAAACAAACTTTAAAAAATAAATGGGAAAGAAGGAAATGGGTAGCAATAGCATTTGAGTGTTGCGGCTGAACAAAAACATAAGAGATCAGAAAAGTTTGCCTTTCTAAACTACATCCCGAAGAATCCTCCAGGAAACATGGCTTTTGTGGAAGTTGTTGTCCAAATAAATGACTAAATGTGGCACTCTGTTCTTTTACAGTGTCATCGGTGTCCACTAGTTCATATTATCCTGTGCCTGTTTTGTTTCTAAGTACTGTTCAAAGTGATGAGTTTAATCTATGCAACCCTGTATGGTTTGGAACAAGGTTACCTTAAGTCACCTCTTCCACTATGCAGCTTAATCAGAATTAAGAATAATTGGAATGCACTTGCTAAGAGTCTGAAGATTCTATCTCTGGGGAGCTGATAGCAGGATGCACTGTTTCCCATGATGACAAATTCACATTTGCTTGTTCTCTGACATCCATCTGGTTGCAGATCTGTTGACCATCAAAGCATACCGCTGTTCCTCTTTTAAGCAGGTTTTTACTCGCCTTCCTCTTCTTTTATGACCCCTGCAGGATGATCCATTCTTAGAACTGATGTTGACATGGTCCGTGGCAGCCTAACATGCTGCCTCTCAACCGTTCCTGTTTTTCTGGCCTCTGTTTTATTTATATAAGCTTATTTATTTATTTGATCTATATTCTGCCCTTCTCCTGGGGTTGGGATGCAAAGCAGCTTACCACAGGAGTGCATTTGGACAGTTAAAATTAGTATGACAGATGCGCCTGCTCCTGGAGATGTCTGATCTGGCCTTGGGGACACAGGCTTTAATTACATCCCCTTTAGGCTACTGTAATGCACTGTATATGAGGCTGCCTTTGTGCTGGTTTGCATAGCTTAGGCTCAAGCTGTCAGAAAGCCTCTCTCTCCTGATGACCCTGTTCTCATTTGGAAATCATTAGGAGAAGGCTATCTTTCTGCCCCAATATCATTACAGGCAAGTTTAGTTATGTGCCTGCTCACAAGCTGTTGAACTGTCCTCCTTTGGCAGGAAGGAAAACACCTTTTTTGGTTGCTAGAAATTGAGAGTTTTGTGAATATTGTTTGAAATGCGTTTATATTTTAAAAAAAATAATTCACTGTGAATCCCAATTAAAATAATCAAATAGCCCATTGCCTTCAAGTTAATAGGCTATTTAGTTATTTTAACTGGGATTTGATTGTTATTATTTATTTTAGCTATTGTTTTTTATGTATACTTTCAAATCATTTCTGATTTATGGCAATCGTGAGGTGACCTAGTGGGTTTCCATGGTAGAATTGAACCCTGGCCTCCAGAATTGTAATCCCAAATTCAGACCACTATACCATATAAGCCGCCTTGAGTCCCTTCGGGGAGATGATGATGGGATATAAATAAAGTTATTATTATTATTATCAAATTACTTTTTATTGAAAGTAAAGGTGAGCTCCTAAGAAACGGAGCAATTAAGAGAAAGAAAGAAAGAAAGAAAAAGAATGTTAATTTTTTTCTCGTTATGAAAAAGAGTGGGAACAATATATATGAGAGAAAAGTAGGAAATTGGAGAGGTAGTTGCGGCTATCCCCATAAAAAACAGAAAATAAAAAGACCTGAAAGTATTATTATTATTATTATGGGTCATGATTTTAACTGTACTTTAATCTGTATTGTAAGCCACTTTAGGTCCTGTACTTGGAGAATGGTGGAATGTGCATTAAATTACTTATTTAACACAAATAACTAAAAATAGCACATGGTAGACCTCACCTCTCCTACCACATCTGTGGGCTGTGCAAACTGAAAGGTTTCCTTAATTGGTGGAGAGGCAGAAATCAATATTACACTACAATTTCAAAATTAAGCTTTACCTGCTTAATTTGAGCATTCTGTGATAACCTTGTAATGCAGAACAGAAGAAAATATACTTTTAATTGGCAGCACTGTTTTATCTCTGTGTGTATCACTATGGGTGTTGTCTGCATAAGATTTGTGGTGTTCATGTGATGGGTGTGAGACCTTGCTACAAATCCAGGTGCCAACTCTACTCAGGAAATGTTGTTGCAGGACCTAATCACATCACTCTCAATATCAGGGGCACTGTCATTTCCCCATCTTTTAATATGATATATGTTATCTTCTGTCAACAGTGCCCTTCAACATTCTACATTAGGTAGACAGATGAGTCTCCTCATCAGGCAATAAATGGGCATATATATATAAGACGTTATGAATGAAATACACACAAAAAAGCTTCAGAAAATTTCAGTCTTCCTTATATTCCATCAGAACAGTAGTCCTTGAATGAACAAACAAACAAACTACTAAGGAAGATTAAAAAAGAAATAACAGAATTAGAATATAATCCTAATTCAGCACCACAAACATGGCTTACACAGGAATACAGACCAAGACTTTTGAGATCTAGGCTCTCATAGTCTTCTGCCTAAATTAGCAAATCTGTCCATTTTGTTTTTCCCATATCTATATTTCTTAGAACTCAGGAACTTTCATTCAACTTGTTGAAGAAAGGTGCTGTACAGAAGTGTTTATAATAATATGCTTATAACTGTATTTATGTTTGCATTGGTTGCCCTTAGGCTGG